TTGTTTTTTTTTTTTATTTAAGGAGTGTATTCCATAAGAGTACAGCGTCTAGTAATAGATGACCTAGACACAAGAAGGGCTATTCCTATGCATGAAATGATGGGCACTGAAGGTCGGAAACCAGATTCATCTCGTTTATCTACTTACTCAAAGCAGGAAGCAACTCCTTATTTCTTAGGTAACACTTAAGCCCTAGTTAAATATTTCAGGTACTTTGAAAATAAACTCAGATTACTCAATAATTTAAATTGCTAAACTATAGTTTGATAGAACACAACGTATGTGTTTATTTTATCACAACTTTTTTTTTTCTTTTTTTCAGTACGAGGAAAGGAATCCAGGGCCTATGCACCGAACTATGACCTCAGCCCTTTAACTTTTTTTTTTTGAGATTGGATCTTGCCAAGTTGCCCAGACTGAACTTGAGCTTGTGATTCTCCTACCTCAGCTCCCAGAGTGCTGGGGAAACAGGCAATTCCCACCACTTTACTGCAGTTCTGAGTTTACCTACAACCTCTACTCACTGAATAATAAGACGTGAGCATATACTGACGGACACACATTTATCTCATTGAGTCGTCCTCCTCCCAATAATGCTGTGCCACATGCATCCGATGATGAGTGTTGTTATACACAGGAGGCAGTGCGATTCACGGCCAGCCCAGGGTTCCAGCCCTAATCTTTGCATCTGGAACCTTTAGTCTTGCGCTTGGATGCCAGATGTTCCTAGAATGGGATGAACCCTTCCTCAAAGGCCATGTAACCCCAGTGTACTTCAAAAAGCCCTCATTATTATACATTCTTCTGGTTTTCTTTACTGGATTTAACACCCTGCTATTAAATAATTAATGACCCACATATCTTGCCTTAAATAGGGAAAGGAGGAGTGGTACTGCCCATTTCAGCAGTCTTCCTACACAAGACAGAAGGAAATTTAAAATGGATGCCTTCAGGTCTGGGCGCTGCATTCCAGCCCCAGGAGGCTTCCATGGGGTGGGGTCTGTGGTTCTGGCAGACCATGCTTGGCTTCCCATCTCCACGGTGGGCTACTGTGGCTGTTTTTCCTTCTCATTCCTCACTCCCCCGATCCTGTTCGACTTTTGCAAGAAGTGTGAAATCCTGCATCCTCTTGCGCACCTCAGGTAGCCCGTCCAGATGTTGCTGGAGTTTCCGCGTGGTGGTTTCTGTTACCTGGACCTGCTCGGTTCCTTTCCCTTCTACCCTTGCCCCTCCATCCTCCTGCATCTCTCCTACAGACTATTTGTGCAGATGTCCAGGTCTTGGCTTCCGGGAGCCTTCAGACTGCTTCAGACCCTAAGGAGGTCACTCTGGGCGCCCTGCCAGGCAGAAACATGGTTCTGCCTCCAGCCACACCCTGAAGGCCTTCTTACCTTTTCAGTCTGAAGGTCACTTTTCTGGGCGAAAAGAAAGCGAAATAGGAGGTGAGTAAATTTATGTTTTGTCTTGTTAACACTATATCATAATCTCTTAAAAATGTCACCAGCGGTTCCTTGTTCTCACTCTGTATACAGTGTAAAAGTCATTTATTACCTCCATTTATTCAGCAAAATTGAGTTTATTTTTTTACTTTATTCTCTATGGCACCAATCTCGCATTTGTGCTGCTGATTGCTTTTGTATTTGGCTGCGAGTTCTTTGATCTTTCCAACATGCTTTTAAAAATCTGAGCTCAAAGGAGAGTTCCCCAAGCAACCATTTTGATTACTTTAGTTTTTCTTCCATAATGGGCTAATTTTTATTATATGGCTAGAATTTAATTTTCTCCTACTTCCGGGCCTATCTATATATCCCTTTAGAAAGCCATCTGGTCCCGAGACCAAACATATTTTCTTTGAACTGTGGAAATTTGCCTTTTTATATTCTTGTATGCATGTCAGACCCAGCTTGACATTCCTGTCTTCTGCTGCTTTGAATTTTATGAAGCTCTTCCTTGCTCCAAGGTTCTCAGGACTTATTTTCTCCGAATCTGCTCTTTCCTGACCATCAGAATCAAGTTTAGAGTGTGTCCTCTAAGGTCCAGTTGACAGGCTACACATCTTCTTTTGCTTCGGGACCTCTGTTCTTAGAAGTGAGCGGGGCCTCCAGTCCCACAGTGCCACCCCATCGCCAAAAGAGAGGCCAGGGCAGCCAGCGCCCAGCAGCCTGGGGAGAGAGGCACTTGGTCCTGTCCATGGGTGTGAGGTTAACAGAGCCTCTCTTAGCTGAAGTAGCTGGATGCCATCACCTTCAGGGAGCCTGGTGCCCAGGGATGTTCCTCTAATGGTTGAGAGGGGGCAGTGGCAAGGGCACCAGTGTGGTAGAAAGGGAAACAAGGAGAGACAGGCTGGTGTGTGTGTGTGTGTGCGTGTGTGTGTGTGTGTGTGTGCACGCGCGCACGGGTGCGCTGAGATGGTTTGGTGTGCCAGGCCCAATGCTGAGCATCTGTGAGCGCAAGTGTCATTTATTCCTCTCAGAGTTATTGTCACACATGGGGAAAGTGAGCATTATAGATGCTGGCTCGCCGGGTCACACAGCGAGGGGTGAAACCTGGGTCTGAGAATGAGAAGCAGCAGAACAAAATCCAGACAAAACCAATCCCTGAGATTACAGTCCAGTGCAATGCAGTGATCTCATTACCGTGCATTACAAAATTAACGATATGTACAAACCACTGCCTAGGACAACAGAGAATAGATATTTTGTTGTACGTTACTACTAATCACTTTAATGTATGTCACTAGAATTTTATAGTGTCCTCTATCTTGGAAAAAAACGTACCCTTTGAAAAGTATTTTTGCTAGGCAAAGTCTGTTTTCAGCTTTAAGTTCTGTTGGAAAAACATTTGAGCAAAATGGGAAGAAAAAGAAATAACACCACACTGATTATCACATAATTTGTGATCTTTAAAGGAACCAGTCTTCCTGATACATTACTGCCAGCTAAACAAATACATGTTCTTTGAAAAGTCAGCTTCTAGGTTCTAATGGAAATATTGATTTTCCCCTCTGTCTTCTCTTTTGATCATGCCTCTTTGCCATGCTGCCACCTCACCTCAGTGCCGGTGTCAGAGGTAAGGGCCCAGACCGCGGTGACTAAGCAGGTGTCAAGCCAGCTGCGGAAACAGAGGGAAGGCGTAAGTAACGGCACAGGTCTTCTGAGTCAATGGACCCCGTCTCTTCTAATTTCATTATCAATTCACCACAGGAATCGGACAGAGGCAGTCTGTTAAATCAGATTCAAAAGCTCAAAAACAGAAAAGAGGGAAAGAATCCAATTTCAGAGTCAGGTAAGAACATCGTAACTCAGACAAAAATCTTTGCAATTGATGTATAGCTACAGACTCTTGTCCAGAGAGTTCCTCTTTAAATTAAGAATACTAAGGATTTCCCATTCCGAAATTAATAATCCAAAAGATGCACATAGTAACGAAAGAAGCCGATTGTTGTTCTGCGGCTAGGAAGCACCAGTGAGTGGGTGCCTCACCAGGCTCCCTCAGCATCCGGGTCCCTGGGAGGCTTTTGGGGCGCGCCAAGGGCCACCCATGGAGATGGAATATCCTGTTCCTGGAGGCTTCTTAGCATGCGATCTAATGGCGCCCTGATAGGCAGATTGCCCTGGGACTGCGTTCCTTGCCTAAATTCCTTGGAGCCCTAATTGTGCTTGTGGAAGAGACACCCAAACTCCAAGTGAGACCAGGCTGGGGAGTCGGGGCCCCGCAAAGCCCTGATCAGCTCCAGAGGGACTCAGAGCTTGCCAGGCAGTAACTGCAGACAAAGAATTGAAACCAGGAAGAAGGAAACATATGGGAAGAGAAAATAGATAACTAAGAGGAAGTGGAGGTAGGTTTGGCTACTGAGTGTTTTTATTTACCCTGTGTTGTCTGTATTTTTGTAAGCCACAATGTGGGAGTAAGAGGGAAAAAACAAGTCTCTGAAATATTTGTTTTTTTTTTAATTTAAAAAAAGACAGATTTTCTTACAGAAAAAAGGATAAACCTCCCCTAAATTTTCTTAGAGAAAAAACAGAAAGAAAAAAGATTAAAGAGGAGCTTGCACTGCTTGTTAATTATCTGCTTGTTTTTGGTAAATTGATTGTATCAAAATATTGGAACCCTTGGCCATGGAGGTGCACACCTGTAATCCCAGCACTCAGGAGGCTGAGGCAGGAGGATCACTATGAGTTCAAAGCCTGCCTGGGCTTCATAGTGAGTTCAAGGCTCATCGGAACACATAACAAGAACTTGTCTCAAAAAAAAGAAAAAAAATTGGAATTCATTGGAACAACCTCGAAATATGGCTTTGGAGTAAGCCTAGGATTTTTATTGTTGTGCACAATAAAGAAATTTAAATCTGCAAATGCATGCTCCGATAGCCTTCTGTTCATTTACTGTTAGGACGCTTTTTTGTTTGTTTTGTAATCGGTTATTGTGGTCTCTTCCCTGCCAGACCCAGTTCCTGGTAAGTTTATAGCCCCGCCGCAGGCACTAAGACAGAAGGTACACAGTGGACACTACCTAGAGGTGAGTAGTGAGCTACACAGTGTGACTGTGTTAAAGAATAGCAATGGTTTAAATGTGATAACACACAAATCCAACTTGTGTCTGAGTCACAATAGGATCCCAGCAAACGATAGCTCTCTATCCCTCTCTTCTGAGACAAAATTTTCTTTATTTTTTAAGGCAATGTAGAATATTAAATATTAACTCTCACCTAATAAAATTCTGTATGCTATCGAACTTTTCTTGCTCTTAAGAATGGGAATCCCGTTGGGTATAGTTAGAACCTGGAGGCCCAGGTGGATGAATAGGAAGAGAAAAAAACTGGGAAACACAAATTTTGCTTCCTTCCTGTCTGGGTTTGATGAGGAAATGGCCTTTGGAAAACGTTTGCCTCCTTTCCTCTGCATTACCAGTGCTTGGAACTAATTTGGGTCTTTAGTTCATCTTGGATGAACCCATAGCCTTTACCAAGGCTGAGGCTGGGTTAATTTAAGGGAGTGGCAGGAAAATGGGAGCCAGTAACTTAGATCAGTGTCTCTTCAGACTCCATCACTAATTACATTGTGTGACATTTTAGGAGCTCTCTGCTGAGCAAGTACCTAGTACTTGTGTATTGCAAACAGACAGGCTCTTTCCTCTAAAGTCTGAGCCACTAAGAAGCATCTCTCCTGTTGCTATAAAGACAGGAAGCCCAGCCCTCGTAGAAGAAAGCACAATGCAGATACGCAATTGTTTCTTGGTGATTATGCTTTGGGATTAGTTCTAGGATCCCCGCGGATGCTGAAGACTCCTATGTGAGATTTATTATATAAGTATTGGCATTCTACCTACGCACTTCCTCCTGTGTGCTTTATCTCTAGATTACTTATAACACCAAGCACCGAGTTAGTCTATGTAAATAGCTATTTTTATTATTTCGAGAATGGTGCCCAGAGAAAAAGTCGGCGTATATTCAGGAGAGACGTAGCCATGGTAGGCCTGGGTTCGTGGTCCACGGCAGGTACAACACAACATTTTCCCCCAGTATTTTTGATCCAAAGTTGGCTAAAGCCAGAGCCGAGAAAACTGGAAACGAAAGGCAGCTGCCCAGAGGAAGGGTCAGTTGGCGGCTAAGAGATTAAATTCACAGACTCGTTTTTCTTACTCTACGTTCACAGCACAGATTACTTTTGTAATAACAGAAGTTGGGCTTTCTTTGCACCAACAAGCAAGCTCCCACTTGTACAGTAGGGGATGCCAGCTGAGCTTCCTTGGGTCCAGTTCAGTTCCGCCCGTGGAAACCTGGACGTAGAGCTGATCACACAGGTCTGAAGCTCAGTTCCCCTCTTCCTTCCGCTGCCTCCAGATGCCAGCCACACGCCTAGGTGTTTCCACCTGGGCTTCTCACCGGCCTGCCGTGACTGACAACCTCCTCCTCTCCGTGTTCATTGATTTGCTTCGTCTGATCACAGAACGGCAGGAAAACACACTCATGAATGAACTGGCAAGGACATCAAGGGCACCATGAGGAGATGCGGAGCCAGGGGTGGGAGAGGCCACGCCCTTCCTTAGTGCCTTACCCGGCCCTGCGGGAGTCCCCATGTTCTCCTCCCAGATGCCCTCCAGGCCTTGTCTCTGTGGGTTTCAGAGAAGACTTCATTCGTAGGTGGGACTGCAGCACGGAGGACGGTGTGACTGTGATCGGAGGGAAAGAACTTGATCTAATGCCGATAGACAGGAAGACAGCCAGGCCTCTTGCTACAGATGTTCTGGCCTCTTGTACAGCACTCCTTTCGCAGATGCAGAAAGGACTCCTTCTGAAATAGGGATCTTATCATCAGAGAATCTGCAGACAGTCTTAAGACCAAAGGTGGGAGAAAATTAGAGTTTTATGACCCTCCTTGAAGAAGAGAAATTCTAGTTTGTTTGTTTTTTTGGTACCAGGGATCAAACTCAGGAACTTGTGCTCACTAGGCAGGTGTGGCGCCACTGAGCTAATTAACCACAGCTGAGAAATTCGAGTTTCTAAGGCTTGCCTTGGGGAAGGAATGTTCCCAGGAAGTAAGGAATACATGTGTATTTTTTTCTCACCATGTCACAGTCCCTTAAGGACTAGCTGTGACCTGGGCCTATAGGAGGAGCTGATCGCCATGAATGGCACACAGAAGAGACTGGGCAGACCAGTTATGCGCAGGTTTAGAAATGCCCTATGAGAAGGACAAACAGAACTGCTATGCCAACACGTTTTCTGGTTTATTTTTGTGGATGTGACCAGTAGGCTATACTGAATTTCCGTCACAGTTGACTGCCTTCAGACCACAGGCAGCTATGAAAGAACAAAAAAGGATGTTCCTTCTGAAAACGGTGTCTACCCTTTTAACCATCTGTAAGTATATCTTTCTCCATCAACCGTCTAATCTTTTAAAATTGTTACAAGAAGGACCTTAACCTCCGGCTAGTGATTCCCGCTTTTTAGAGTTATAATGCAAAGAGCAGCAAGGCCTCTGATCACTTAAACTTTGGGAAGCACACCTACAAAGACAGCTTGAAGTACACAGCCTACTCTTTCTGTTTGTTTATTTGTTTTTTTGAGACAGGGTCTCACTGTGTAGTTGAGACTGCCCTGGAACTCATTATGTAGCCCAGGCAGGTCTTGAACTCACAGTGATCCTCCTGCCTCAGCCTCCTGAGTGCTGGGATTGCAGGCGTGCGCCACCACGCCCATCCACACAGCCTACTCTTACTCTGGTCTCTGTCTGAGAGGCATAGGTACCAGTGGGCTGGTGATGAATAGTGGGTAGCCAGCTCGGAAGAAAGATGAACAGCTCTCTGGGGAGTTCTCCTTTTCTTGGTCAATGAAGCATTCTGGTTAGGGAAAGGGAGTAGCTCAGGGGTCCAGCACCTGCTTAAGCCTGCGTGAGACCCTGTTCCATCTCTAGCATCCAGAATCAACAAGCAAACAAGTAATCGACTGAAGTACCTTTCTTTATTTCAATAAGTGCAGCATTACTGAGACTCTGTGCTGTAGAATGGAAGCCAGAAGAGGAATCCCAGAATCTGCGTCCAGTGTCAGCACCGACTGCCATTGGCCCCAGGGCTCGCATCCAACGGGCCCGTGTGCCAAGAGAACTCTGAATGCGAATTCCAGACAGTTTCGCCTCTAGGACGGGGGTGGCATGCGTGCCACAGCAGGCGCACGGAGCCCTCTCTGTCACATGAGCCAGGTCACCCTATCCAAGCTTGAGGCGTTACCAGCAAGCATGCCACAGTGCGGGGCACGTTAATGGTGTAAAAACACTCCAAATGCAAGCGTTTACCTTTCCGTCAAAAGCTGTTTGTATTGTTCAAGGCTCCATTATCTGTTTTTCTTTTAAGACAAGATATGTTAATGTATGAGTTTTGTTTTTTCCTAACTAAAACCTCAGTGTTCAGGTTAGTTGCAGTGCTGGCGCCTGGAGATAAATACATGGGTTTGGGTTGTAGTTTGGGCCTTTGTCTCTAAAAGGTTCACCATCACTGCTCTAGAGTATCCAATGCAAAACTTGATATTTGTTTTTGTTTTTTTGTACCAGGACTCGAACTCAGGGCCTTGCACTCGCTAGGCAGGCATGCAGCGCCGCTGAGCTGAATCCCCGGCTCCGAGCTTGCTGTTTGACCATGTAGATTAGTAGTTCTCAGCCCTGGTTGTACCTCAGAAACATAACAGGGGGAAAAAGGATGAAAGAGTAGAGAATAACATATACACATGATTTTTAAAAATTTTTTCAACTGTATAAAGAAGCAGTTTTCCAGTTTCCAACTTCTTCTCTCCTAGGACTAACATATGTACAGATGTCCAGACCTCACCTCATACCTGGGGGCATCTTCTGGCAGGTGCATTTATTTTGTTTTATTTTATTTTGGTAACGGGGATCAAACTTGGGACCTTGAGCTCGTGAGGCAGGCGAGGTCCACTGAGCTAAATCCCCGGCCCTGGCAGGTACATTTTTAATAAGCTTTCCCAGCTGATCCTTTTGCTCTGTCAGACCACTGACTTTGGATGTGGCTGAGCTCCTGGAACCTCCCTGACAGGGGTCCCCATGTAACGCACAGGCCAGGCCCTCTCTGAATGCCACTGACTGTCTGGACTCGTTAGGGTGAGGAGGATCGTATGATGGGTGGTGTTTGCCTTACCATAGTTGGAATTTGTATGATTTTTTTATTTGCTTATTTGATAGTGTCTCACTACGTCTTTCAAGCTGGATTGAACTCACTATGTAGCTCAGGCTGGCCTCAAACTCTCAGCGATCCTCCTGCCTCTGCCTCCCAGGTGCTGGGATTACAGGTGTGCACCATCACATCTGGCTGGTTCAACTTTATTATGATGTAACAGCAGTAAACACTCAACAGAAACCACACTTCCAATGTTTTCTTCCTTGCCTCTCACACTCCCTCCTTTTTTTTTTCCTCTTTATGGTGCTGAAGATTGAACTCAAGGCTCCGCACAGGCTGGGTAAGTGTTCTACCACTGAGTTTTAGCCCCTCACTGTAATATATATATATGGCCCCTGGCTATATATCTGACTTTGCCAGTCAGTACACCACTATGTGACACAGCTCTCACATTTGAAAAATTAGAGGATTTAACAAAATGGCATCTGTAATGTTTCCTTCTCTAATCTTCTGCAGTATAAAACGGTTGATGGCTTCCTTATGAAAGGGTTGACAGATCTATTCATACTTTCTTCTTCCTAATCAAACCTGGCTTTGTTCTGATGCCTGACTCCCCATCTCCTTACCTCAGGCCGGGTTTCTTAAGGGAAGCTGAGGCCCACACAGCCCATGAGTGAACCCGACTGACTTAGGGACAAGTTATCTCTTTTCAGAAGCTGAAGTGTATGTGAAGTTCCAGGTTAATGTAAGGTGCAGACAGATTTGAGGGAGGTTTTTCAACTGCGAGGATCCAATTTCCCCCTCCTACCAAAAGTGAGCAAGTCAGGGCCTGACTCTGAGGGCCAGCATAGCCATTCTGCTGTCCATGTGGGAAGAACACACTCTCAGCAGAATGGGAAGATACAAGGGGCCTAGACCACTCCCAGCGATGCCTAAGCCCTCACCCTATCTCCCCTTTCTGATGTACGAGCCATTACATCTATTATTTAAGCAATTCTGAGCTGAGTTTTCTGTTACTAAAGGCCGAAATGCACCTGAATAATCTATCTTCTCTAAGTCTAAGTCCCTCACTCAAGATCTTAATTCATTCTCTGAGCTCAGGAATCTTTTATTCATGTCTTGGCCATTTACCTTGTCTTGCTTCATTTTATTTTTCCAACTTTTGGCCCTTGGGTAACTTAGTGACTATTGATTTTTCATTGTTATAAGTCCTTCTTTGTCTACCCTTGGCCTCTCACAAACTGGTATTTAGAAGCATCGAGGTGCATCTGTAACATATGCACTGTAGCTTTATTCACAGGAAGGGGATAACTGGGCAGCAAGGAGTGGAGGGGAAGCTATACACAGAGTATCACTCATTTTAGGAAGCAGGAGGCGTTATCAATGCCCCCTTTCTAGTTTTTACTGAGTAAAGGGCCATTTGAATCTTGATGCTCAAGGAACAAGCAGTAGATTATTTCACATAGACTGTAAAACTTCTTTATCTTAAGAAATTGATTTTGTAGGAACTCAGGGAAAGGAAGAAGGAAGGAAAAGAATCAGTTTTTTTCCTAGTCTTATGTTCCACTGTGCTTTCATACATAACTTTGGCTTAGTCCTACAACCAGTTTACAAGGTAGATTATTTTTATCTCCACTTTACATTTGAGGCTACCGAAGTTTTTTTTTTTTTTTTTTGGTACCAGGGATTAAACTTGGGTCCTTGCCCGTGCAAGGCAGCCCACTGAACCGCTGAGCTAAATCCCCGGCCCAACCGAAGTTTAAAGTAGTAATTTTTGCAAGGCCACTCAAGGGCATGACTGAATCCAAATTACACAAAGGACTGTACAACTCCAAACTGATGAGTTCTCTACAACTCACGCACTGGTAACCTGTGACCTCTGCCCCAGGTAAGTCTGAGGGACTTCTACTGTCCCCCTTAGATGGTCTCCCTGATGAGCAAGTGGGCGGCATGTCCTGTGCAGCCTCTGGCTTCAGCTGCTTGTGGCTCCCTTCTGTGGGGTCCAGAGAGGCAGCGATGATCACGGCTGCCTCGGTCCCGGCTGACGGGTAAACTCACAGTTGCAGAAGAGGCAGCTGTTCCTATCACAGATTCCCCTTTTCCTACTATATTCATGGTGTGTGAAATTATGGCTCCGATTGTTGTTGCCAAGCTGGTCTTGTGGATCAGTGCAACTTGTTGTGTTGTTCATCAGCTACTCCTCTGATTATAGGATGCATATTTTCTGTTTTCTCTTGAGTCATCTACCTCAGCTCTGGGTGGGCAGTGATGTGGATACCAGGGACACACTTGCATAGTTCTCTCTGACAAGTCAAGCTTTGGGCAAGACGAGACTGCCCTCACTGCAGAATTATTCCTGATCACTGGAATAGCGTGCAGAGAGTAAACGGAAAGAAATATTCATGAGAAGGGAAGAAAGAAGGGAGAGAGAGAGAGAGAGAGGAAAGTAGGAGTGGATCGGTTGACCTGATCAAACTGCTGATACGACTTTTACTAACTGTGTCTGTGTAGATGGTTTGGGGTTAGTGATGTCCACATCAGTACTGCTGAAAATCGTATCCAGAGTACAACAGCTTCACAAGGTCTAGAAGTCAACCCAGGAGCACAACCAGAATTCTTTGGCGTCGCCGTGTCAGCCATGCGCTGTTCTTCCTGGACTGACTGCATCCCATCTGCTTTGCCTCTCTCTTTACTCCACTATCTCCACCTAGGCTGAGGGACAGAGCACCAAGCAGACCACGTGTTTCGCCACTTTGTGAATGTTTCTCCTGGGCTGGAATTCTCACATTTGTGATTTCATTTGTTCATCACCAGAGCTCTTCACTGGCTGGGTGGGATGGTAATCCCAATGCTGGAGAGGCTAAGAGAGGCTGAGGCAGGAGGATCACAGCTTCCTGCCAGGCCTGGGCTACATAGCAAGACTCTGTCTCAAAACAAAACAAAACAGGACCAAAATATTTCACCAACAAAAACTTTTCTCCCCAAAAGTCCCAAACCAAACAAATAAAACCTTTGCAAAAGACAGGTGGAAGTTACTTCCCCCGTGTTTCACAGTTATAACAGAAGCTCAGAAGGACTCAGTGAAACTCCTCAGCATCACTGGTGAGGGATTAACTAGAGACCAGAGCTTGGTCTTGGGCTGGGACTGGCCCATCCCTCCATCTCATGGAGTATACCCAACATATGCACTACTCTCTGGTTGCTCCAGAGTCTGGATGTCTAAAATCATGGTATCAGCGGGGCGAAGCTCCCTTGTGAGGCTGGGGGGCGGCTCTTAGATGGCGTATGGCTGCTCACAGAAGCTCCGAATGTTCCTTGCATTTAGCAGGAGTCAACCGTGGTATTTACATGCCCTTCTTCCCCCGTCTCTGCCCGTTTCTGTCTCGTGAAGGGTTGAATTAGAGCCAACCCTCATCATGTCACAGTCTCAGGTGCAGGATGAGCATGAATTTTGAATGCATCTCAGGGCACAACAGGACGTCCTGAAATAGTATGCTAAGGTCATAAAGCCCAGTGATTTCAATCCTTGTTTATCTGATGTGAAGTCTAGTTCGTTCGTAATGATTGCAGAGGCAACCTTTTGGGATCAGAAAAGTGGAAGGCTTTCTGTGGGGCTCTTGGACTTGTAATAGCTGTAAGAAGGAGAACTGGAGACTTTGGTGCATTCCATCAACAGATATGATAGCACAGAAATGATAAAAGCCACGCACATCTGGGCCGGGGATTTAGCTCAGCGGTTCGGTGGCCTGCCTTGCAAGCGCAAGGACCCGAGTTTGATCCCTGGTGCCAAAAAAAAAAAAAAAAAAAAAAAAAGCCACACGCATTTTAGTGGAAAAACTAAAACAGAAAAAATATCTTGGGGGACTCTTTGGGGAAAAGGGTTAGTGTACTGGGGCAGGGGAATGACAGAAACTGATGATAGCTTAATTTTGGGTCAGGAAAGTAAGAGGGCTCCAAGACTTCACAGGCTTGGAAAATATATACAAGTGGATGATTTAAAATGAGTTAGTGACTGCTGCATTCTTGGATGTTTTGAAGCATTTGAATGTAAATAACAGACATCAAAGATTCGGAATTACTTTTTTAGCTGTGCTTCTTTAGTTGAGATACATCTACAAAATAAAAGCTCTTTAGTCATGGACTTATAAACAGAGAGATTATGCAGAATTCAGTGAAGAATTTAAGCCATTCTGCAGAAAGTGTTCCTTTTCACAAAGCAGCACATCAATTTGGGGGAGAAAAACCATGACTCAAATGTTAGAAGCAAAAGGGATCAAAGAAAGGTCACAAATGGGGGAAAGGGGAGGGCTTCGAACTCATCTAGGTAATGAAAAGCACAGACCAGAAATCTGATAACGCAGAAATCAGTTTTACAATGGCGAATTAAGTCTACAAGTCAAAGCAGTCTGTAGCCCCTCTGTGAAACACGTTTTTCTTTGACTTCCTTATAAACTTGCTCCGGCTGATAAACTGCAGCCCTTTCAGTACAGAATGATTAGGTGCTATGTTTGGGGCACCCGTTTCTGGCTGAGTCATCCACCCTAACAAAATGAGCAGGGGACAGAGTGGCTGAATCCTAACCCTCAGGAAGGAAAAAGAAAGACTTCCTGTTGAAGGTTGTAACCAATCAAGTCATGGTAAGAAAATCTTGAACTGTGTTTGTAAAGTTGTAAAAATACCTCATCGGTCGGTTGTACTGGGGTACACCTGTGATCCCAGAACTGGGGAGGCTGAGGCAGGAGGATCATCATGAGTTCCAGGCCAGCCCGGGCTACATGATGAGTTAAAGGCCAGGGAGATATTGTCTCAAAAACCAAAACAAACCAAAGCAAAACTATCAAAAAACTCCAGGAGCTCCTAAAAAACAAAGTAAACATAGTACAGCCACATGATCCAGCAATCTTACTCTTGAATATATCTTCAAGGAACTGAAATCAGTGTATCAAAGGGATGTCTACACTCCATATTGATTACTACTCACAGCAGCCAAAATGTGAAATCCACGTCGGCATCCATCAGAAAATGAGTGAGTAGAGAGAATGTGGTGCCGACCCACACAGGAAATACTATTCAGCCCTAATGAAGGATGAAGTCCCATCACTTAGGCCGGCAGGGATGGAACTGGAGGTAATCATTTTACATGAAACAAGCCAGGTACAGAGAGACAAACACTCCTGAGCTCACTCACATGTGGACTCTAAAAAAACTGATCTCATAGGAGGAGAGTAGAAGTCGTGGCTTCCGGAGGACAGGGAGTGGGCTGAGGAGGGAGAGAGTGCGGAATTATTGACAAGGGCACCTCG